ATTGAGATGGATCCTTTTTTATTTCCAAGACAGGGTTTCTCTGTAACTTTGGAGCCTGTCCTGGAACTAGCTATTGTAGACCTAAAACTCACAGAGATCCACCTGCCTCTGTGCTGGGATTAAAGGTGTATGCCACCACCGCCTGGCAAAATCATTGCTTCTGATCATTAGAAAACTTAGAAGAAAATTGCTAGTACATGCTAGGGCTCAACCCTCACACTGAGCCTATTGATTTGATTCCCTTCCCAATATAGAAAAGAACTGCAGTTGTTCCCACTTGGATAGGGATTGAAAGTTTGGATCAAGGTCATGTAGATAGTATGTAGCAAGCCAGATTTGAGTTCAGGTTGGTCTGATTTCAACCAAGACTGATCTTCCTCTGCTATTATCCTACTGCCTCTTTCTCTCTCTGAAATGCAGTCCATCGGATCACTGACTGGGTATCAAATCAAGTATATCCTGGAGATGTGTCCAGTCTGGCTATTTGTGACATCACTGCCACTACTTTAATCTCAGCTGCCACTGTATCTTACCCTGAACTACCTCCCTATGCTAGATTGTCAGCTTGACATAAGCTAGAGTCATTTGGGAAGAAGGAATCTTAACTGAGAAAATGCCTCCCCTGACCCCCCAGATTGGCCTGTAGGGCATTTTCCTGATGGATGATTGATGGGGGCTGGAGATGGGGACACCGCACAGTGGGCAGTGCTACCTCTAGGCTGATGGTCTTTGGTGCTGTAAGAAGCAGGCTGAGGAAGCCATAAGAAGCAAGCCAGTAAGCAGTGTTCCCCCATGACCTTGGCATTTCTGCCTCCAGGTTTCTGCCCTGCTTGGGTTGCTATCCTGACTCCCTGGATGATGGACTGGCTATAACTAAGCTGAAATAAGCTTTCTTCTCCAGCTTGCTTATGGTCATGGTGTTTATCATAGCAATAGCAATACTAACTAGAACACCCTCTCTACTGTTGTCCTTGCTGATAGTCTGTTGTCTGCTCACTGTAGGCAGTTGGTAAAGCAAAGCCAGTCATTTCACTTCCCTGCCCAAAATTCTACCAAAGCTTCTCATGTCCTTCAGAGTAAAATTCTACATTTTGGTACCCACAGTGCTTGGATTGGCTGCAGTCAGATCTTCCTGGGCTAGCCTCTGCCTGTGGAGTGTCGGGACACCACTCAAATATGACCTTATCTGAGCGGTCTTTCTTGATAACCTAACTGCAGATAAAGCCTCTGCCATCAGTGCAGTGCACATTTCTCTGTAAAATTGGGGGCTCCATTTTTGTACAATTAGCATGCACGTTCCATTTGTGTGAAAGCAGGTTCTTTGTAGGAGCAGTAGTACCCAGAGTGTATCTAAGATTTTCTTTGTGCACAAAATATTGGGCTGAAATGCTATAATTTATTCCCATTGCAGACAAATCTATCATCAGAAAGATTTCTTTACCTCACATCTTCTAGAATTGTCTTAAGTTCTTTGTAGCCACTAAGTCAAAAGGACTTATATGGAAAAGCTCACAGTTTGCAAGTAGAGAAATGTAAATAGCTGAACTATATGATATGTGTTTAGTCATTCAGGTATTCTGGAGAACTTCTGATCCTAAAGGTTCTGTAGGTGAAGACACAGATTTAAGAAAGAACTTATAGGAACCCCAGAGCTATAGAGAGAGAGAGCTCAGTGGTTAAGTGTGAAGTGTAGCTGGGCATGGTGGCTCTGGGGAAAGAAGGAAAAACAGGCAGATTCCTGAAGCCTATTGGTGAGCCTCAGGCTTAACAGGAGACCCTGCCCTCAAAAATAAAAGTGGAGAGTAATCAAAGAAAGACATCTGAACATGCACCCTTCTAACAAGTACATACATCATATACAACTTGGACAAGAAAGAAAACCAAACAAAAGACTGTGTGCCACTCTTGTCAGCCTAATGCTGAAATTGACCTGGAGCTGGCTTTGCTATGCTCTTTCTTTACTTTGCTGGACCAGAAGAAAGGTAAGGAACCTATTAGGGAGGGAGGAGCCCCACGGACCCGGAGAAGGCGCATTACCACAGTTAGATGCCACATGCAGAATCTTATTCAAAGAGCAAAGTCTGCTACCCTTGGTTCACATTTTCCCAAAGCAATGTCACAGAAAGTTCTAACCATTTTTAGGTTTGAGAAGCCTTATTTAGTTCACAGTTGGCTCTGCCATGTGAAGTTCCAAGACTCGGTGTTAGATTCTTGCATATTGCCATGTGTCTTTAGGCCATCTTCTTTCCACAATCCATGGCATCCATTTATAGTGTCTTTCCTGCCCCGAGCCAAGATTCTAGAGCATGTGCTCTGTGAAGACCACAGTCTAAGCAATCTACTCCAGGGAATAGGGGAACAATATACCAAGCTGTGGTCTGCAGGGACTTTTATTTAATAAGCTGTGTCTTGTGGCCTAACTAATTATTTCCAGTTTGAGATTCTAATTTGAAGACTAGGGTAGTCACCTGCAGCTGTGGCTGTCAGGGTCAGGCTATTTCTCAAGGGCAAAATTTGTAATGGGGATTGGTTGAGCTTAAGTGGCTTTTCAGTTTTATTCTGCTGAAAAACTTTCTGTAGAAGTACAGTCATATTTCTGATTTTGTTTCCCATAATGCTTTCTTGCATAGGTAGAGGATGGATTAATTACTGTTTCTTGGGCATTTCTTTACCTTGGTGGTGGTTTGATATAAACATTTTTGTACTTTTCCATTTTTATACTTTGCATGTGCCTTTTAGTATCCTTCACAGCTAGATCAATGGGCCTGCTTTTGAGATAGATGATCTTGCTTAAGCTTCAGAATATTTCAAATGTTGGCTCAGAGGACAGGGCCTCGGTGTGTTCAGTGCTCCTCACATGAGATGTTCCTTACTGCCTGGTCCTGAGAACGGAGGTGGATACAGCGCTCTTCTTGATCGTGTGCTAGACTCGCCCATGCTTGGATTTGTTTTCTTTGGACTCTGCCAGAGTCCTTGCAGTTCCCCAGGAGTGCCTTGCTCCTCACAACTCTTCTGATCCTGTTGTTTATCTCTTACTTAAATCCTCTATTTCCTTTAGGGCTTAGTCCCAAGGCGGTGTCACCTCTGCACCCCTCATACTTCAGAAGGCCACTGTAGGGCACATTGGTATATCCAGGGTATGTGCCCAAGCAAGCCTTCCAGCTTAGAATTTCCATTTCTTAGTTGGGAAAATATAGCTTGACCAGAAATTCCCAAGTACGCATGTCTTTCCCTGCCCCCCCCCCCAGCTGGAGGCTCCTTCAGAACCCCACCACAGGCTAACTGAACCCTAAATCCATGCATTATCTTGTGGTGCCACCATGTGGTTCATTCAGGCAATGCAACTGAATTCTGCACTATCAAAATAGTCCAGTGTGTGCCGTTTACATCTCCTGAGAGAGAAAAACGGATGAGAGAAAGGTGCAAAGCGTTATGCACAGGTGAAAGGCCTTCTCACTGGAGCTCACGACACCCCAGCGCCCCGCGTAGACTGCCTTCTCAGTCTTTTAACCGGGAGGATGAGGAAGCTGTGCACATGCATATTGTCACCTGCTGTCAGAGTTGTATGCACCCTGCGTGGCTCTTCCAGGTGGTGAGCAAAGAACTTCACAATTGGACCCACAGTTCACAGCACATCAGCTTGAGACGGCCTAGTCTGTCTTCATACTGACGGAACAAAATGGACAAAACACTTTACTCGTTGAAAAAAAAGAGACAAATGCACTAATAATCCCAATAAATAAATCCTCAGAAGCCAAAGTGCATAATCAGAGCCGCCCTGCTGTTGATGTGCTCTGGTGACAGTCACGTAGTCTATGAGGGTGAGCAAGACGGAGAGTCGCACCAGATAAGAGGAATTGGACTCCTAATGTATGGGTTAGAGTTTAACTCACACATTAAGGACTGTAAGCTATATTCTTTGACTTATAATTGGGAGTGAGAAGAATATAAAATTGTTTTAAAAATATATTTATATTCAAACTGCCAAAGAGATGCAGGTCCATTCCTTCCACTCCCAGCAGGAAAGAAATCCAAAGTGTGGAGAGACCTCACCTTTATTTATGGTATGAACATTTTTCATTTTAACCACATCTTGACCTGGTATAGCAATTCTTAGATAGCGATACTCATCCCTTCTTTCACACCGTGACAGCAACAAGTGTTTGTGAACTACTGTACTCCTGAGGTCTTTTAGATCACAGAAGAAACCTCTCATCGTGGGTCCAAGAGTCATTATGATGGCGGTCCTTGTGTTCTGTGTTCTGTCACACCCAAAATACTGAGTGCGTATGCAATGGAGACCCTAGCATTTGTACATTGAAAAGCTCATGTTTATATTCACAACCCTACACCTGTCCTGGTGTGCGACTTTTGTCATCCAGGCTATTTTCTTCTTATTACACTATCTCTTTCCCAAACTTAGGGTCAAAAAAGATGTCTTAACAATAGCAGCTTATGGGATTTCAGGAGCAGGATGTGAGGACATGAAGGATGAGAAGTGGTGAGCTAGGGAAGTAACATGTTTCCCTGAGAGAGACTAAAGCTGATAACACACTTAATTCCCCAGGAGTGCTGGAGCAGAGCAGTGCTCTCCGTCAGACAACAGAAACCTCATGCTTGACTGCAGAGCACAGTCCCGCTTGACCAGGACGGAAAGGAGTTTTGAGCCTCGGCTCCCATATCTCTGCCCGCTGCTTTCCTTTTAAAGACTCAGAAATGGTTGTTTCTGCTTATTTTTACTATTTCCCGGCCTCCAATTCTATTTTGCCCCAAGGTCGTTGTATTACAGTTGATGATTTTGCTGCTATATGTTCTGTGAAGGCGACTTTAGACAGCAGTGTGTCTTTCCCTCTCTCTAAAGATACAAACTCTAGATGTCTTGAGGATTCTTCTATTGCCACCAACAGTCAGGCATCATCACCCTCGGTTGTGAGTTGGTAGCCTTCCTAACTAATGGCATGATTTGTTTTGTTTTGTATGTGCGTATGTATCCTTTCTAGAGTGTCCTGCCATACTTTGTAGCTACAAAACTGGCGAAAATACGGAAGCCAACTTTGGATAAGCCCTCTGCAGAGACGTTTGTGAAGTCTGCAATCAAAACGGTGGGTCTGCAGTCGCGGACCATGGGGTACATGGTCCATGCTCTCATGGTATGTATGTTTTTGGATCTTAAACATATTTTTCAATTTGGACCTTTCTTTCTGTATGATCTCTTAGAATCAAGATGTATACTTTGCCAGACAAGGTGGTACATACCTTTAATCCTAAAATAGACTAATTTATTTTTATTTCAAACTGTGTATTTAAGAACTTTAAATTTCTATAAGTAATAGTGTAGAGAAATGAAAGATGGCCGACAGGTGGCTTCAGTTTAGCTCAGTTGTGGGCTGTGCTTATGTATCTCCCCATTTCTTTCCCTAGGGGTCAATAAATTCAATCTTGCCTCGTTGGATTTATTTTAAAATAGTGATGGGTGTAAACAAGTCCTTGCGGAGTCGCAATCTGAAGAAAAACAAGAGGAACTAAGTGTTGATGAGTCATTGAGCCCCTTGGCCAGATGCTTGGACCTGTACACGTTCACCCAGGGTGCTGTCTGCCCCCAGAATCTCCACTGTTGCTTCAATAATTACTAACATGGCCAAATGTTGGCATAATTGTAGGAAAACAAACTCCTTTTAGAGGCTTTTAATATGTATTCTGGATACATCCAGGAGTAATTTGAAGTTGAGTATATATGCTCTTGCCGAATGAGTGAGAACACTTTGACAGAAAGGAACAAGTCCCAGAATGACAGAAGTAGACAGCATGCCAATGATCACCTTATGTATTGTCTGAAACCTACTATAGAGTGTAAGGGCTAGCTACTTTTTTGTTCTTTAAAATTAGAGGGAACGGGGCTTTGTTGATTTGTTATGGGTGGACACAATGCAGTTTACATAGATTAAGGTTTTCTAAATGTAAGTCCCAGCTCTTGTATTTATATGGAAAAGTTCTCTAGAGTAGCTAATGACATCAAGAGAATCGAAGTACAGAGTTCTTCTGACATATAACTCCACACATGCCATCCTTGTAACACATCTTATGTCTTCTCTGTTCAAATGTATGTAAATGCTGAACGCTGTATAATATGATTGAAATGTAAAGGCAAATAGGCCGAAGTGTACATCAAGACCAGCAGCATCCTCTGGTGCCACTGGGATCCAGGAGCAGCCTGCGTGGACACCCAACCTTCTTCATGTCTGCACTGCACCCGACAGACTCCTTCTGTGGTAGTGATGGTCCATGGGAATGACCTTGTTCTAAGTTGGTGTTCCATTAGAATTCATATACATGCTTTTAATAAAAATTGATGTAACTGGTATTGCATGAAAGTATTTTTTGATCATGGAAACCAAAGCCCCAGTTACACTGCCATAAAGTAAGCTAAGACTGGCTGTAAGCATCAAAATCTACACAGAGAGGTCACTAGGAAGGATTCAGTGTGTGAAATATGCAAGGACCATCATTGTGTACACAGATTGCAGTTCCTAGTTTGAACGACCAGCAAACCTGTTTTTAAAAAATTAATTGATGAAGTGTTTAAGTATTTCAAACTGTTAGTTTCACCAGCTAGGAAAACACGCCCCCCCCCCCCAACATACATACACAAAATGCTATCTGCTCTTAAAATCATTGTGTAAAGTATTCTAGCAGTGACCAGTTAGGAACGAATAATCTCAGAATATAGGATAATTATTTAAATATGATACATTTAGCTTTATGAAAAGTATATCTTTGTTCTCTTTTATTTTTTTATTGATTTTTATTGAGCTCTACATTTTTCTATGCTCCCCTCCCTTTCTCTCCCCTCCCCTTCAATCCTATCCCAAGGTCCCCATGCTTCCAATTTACTCAGGAGATCTTGTCTTTTTCTATTTCCCATGTAGATTAGATCCATGTATGTCTCTCTTAAGGTCCTCATTGTTGTCTAGGTTCTCAGGGATTATGAATTGTTGGCTGGTTTTCTTTGCTTTATATTTAAAATCCACTTATGAGTGAGTGCATATGATATTTTTCTTTCTGGGTCTGATGTTTTCTAAATCCATCCATTTGCCTGCAAATTTCAAGATGTTATTTTTTTTCTGCTGTGTAGTACTCCATAATCCAATAAAAAAAAAATAGAGTAACGACCTAAACAGAGAACTCTCAACAGAGGAATCTAAAGTGGCTGAAAGACACTTAAGGAAATGTTCAACATCCTTAGCCATCAGAGAAATGCAAATCAAAACAACTCTGAGATTCCATCTTACACCTGTAAGAATGGCCAAGATCAAAAACACTCATGACAACTTATGCTGGAGAGGTCGTGGGGTAAAGGGAACACTCCTGCATTGCTGGTGGGAGTGCAAGCTGGTATAGTCCCTTTGGATATCAGTGTGGCAATTTCTCAGAAAATTAGGAAACAACCTTCCTCAAGACCCAGAAATACCACTTTTGGGTATATATCCAAAGGATGCTCAATCATACCACAAGGACATGTGCTCAGCTATGTTCATAGCAGCATTGTTTGTCATAGCCAGAACCTGGAAACAACCTAAATGCCCCTCAACCAAAGAATGGATAAGGAAAATGCGGTACATTTACATATCTTTGTTCTTTGCCCCCATCGTTTCCTATAGAACTGGTAGCCTGGGTGATATTTTCTGTGTGCTTCCACTCTGGCTGTTCCGGTGGTTTTGGTTGAGAGGTGGCAGATTTGCACCTGTAGACAGAGAAAAGAATTGATCTACACGCAGGATACGCTGCAGGATGCAAAATCTGTCTCCTATGACCAGTTAGAAGGTAGCTGTAACCCCAGCTCTTTCCCCTGTTCTGGCTGTAGCTACTTCAGTATGACAGGAAGACATACATCTCCAGTAAGTGCCTTGAAAAGAAGTTTTAGTAAAACCATGTACTAGAAGTCATTCAAACAGTGAAGCACATTTTGTAGTTACAGTGTCCAGCTTTCTGTTGGCAGCTTCATATTCTCTGTATTCTCACATGTACTAAGTCTCATGTAGTCCGTGCTGGCCTCAAACTCATTTTGTATCTGAGGATGGCCTTAATCTTTAATTCTGCCTCTGCCTCATAAGTGTGAACTACCACTGCCACACCTAATGTTCGTTTGAGTTAATTCTTTATAGTTTTCCTCTGGCTGGTATTGGATTGACCTTGGGCCTCTTGCATTCTAGGCAAGTATTCTACCACTGAACTGAATCCCTAGCACTATACCTGGGCTATATAGCAAGATTACTTTTCTTATTTTGAGAATTTCATGCATACAATTCGTGAAGTGTCATATCTGCTTCCTATTGTCACTTTCCAAGTCTTCCTGTATTCTTTTAAGACACCCAACCCCCAAGTTTTTATTTTTGCAAGGTATCTCCAAAGGGAGGGCACACTTTAATATTGCCATTATTAAGACAAATTTTGATTTTTATTTTATGTGTATGAATATTTTGCCTGAATGTATGTCAGTGTACCCTGTATTTGCCAGGTGCCCAAAGAGGCTGGAAGAGGGTATCAGAGCCCATGGAACTGGAGTTTTACACAGCTGTGAGCTACCCTGTGAGTGCTGGGAATTGAACCTAGGTCCTCTGGAAGAGCAGCCATTGCTCTTAACTGCTGAGCCATCTCTCTAGCCCCCATTAAGACAATTTTTTATTTGTGCATCCTGTTGTGGTGCACAAAGACCTACATTATACCTACATAAAACCTTGACCATAATGCGTAACCTGAAGCTAGTCAAGAAGTAGCAGGAAAAGTAAGTCAAGGAATATTTTTCCAAAATTCTGGCCCGAGCTGGGCATGGTGTTGTACATCTGTAATCCCTGCACATGGGGTACTGAGGTACAAGGCTCTCAAGTTGAGGACCAGCCTGGACTGTATTCAGAGATGATGTCTCTCAGACAGTTCTCATGAGTTTATACTTGCCAAAGGTTGCGAATTTCAAATGAGACTTAGAGAGACTTGGCAACTGAGTGCCCGGGGTTGGATCCTATTTTACATCCCTTCTTTTTTAGTGGAACACTAGTCCACAGGTCAAATTTAAGTGAAGGTCCATAAATTAGCTTCCTGAGCTTGGATGATTCTACTTTGGTAACTTGGTAACTTTTTAAGTGTGCTGTTCTTTTTCAAAGAGAACGGAACATGGTATATGTAGCTGGGTCTCCCCAAACCCTCCGAAACCCGCAGAGGGATTGGCAGCACAGAGCTCGTCGTTAGCGTGGAGAATCTAGACCAAAGTATTTGTGAACTGTTCTGCTTGTGACTTTCCTGTAAATCGGGAATTTCAAATAGAAAGCTAAGTAGTAGTTTCGGTTAACAGCTCGGAGCTGCAAACTGCTAAGCTCAGGAGGGCTACTGGTGCCTCTAACTCAGCCCTGCCCCCTTCGACGTGGAAAAAGTACCTCTCCTGTCTTGACGAGCAGCAAGCAATACCTTTGAGTACAAAGAACCCTAGCATGGTGTAGAGTGTGTCGCTGCTGTAGTGTGCTGGATGACACCTCAGCCACTCTGAACAGTGGTCACCTTACACGAAGGGTAAAAATCTTGGAACCAAGCCGTGGTGGTGCACACCTTTAATTTCAGCACTTGGGAGGCAGAAATTAAAGTGAGTTTGAGGCCAGCCTGGTCTACAGAGCTAGTTCCAGGACAGCCAGGACTACACAAAGAAACTCGTCATGAAAAAACCAAAACCAAAACAAACAAAAAAGGAATATTGAGCTAGAGCGATGGGGGTGGGGTGCTGAGGGAGTGTCTAAGAACAGTCACAGTAAGACACGGGTGACAGCAGATGGTGGATGTGGGGTAGCGAGGCTGTGCAGGCAGTGGCCGGAGTGCCTGCTGGAGCCGCAGAGCAGAGATTCCCCAGGAATTCTGGGGAATTTATCACCGACTTTATTTTTCCTTTTTTAGTTTGTTTTGAATTTCTTGTTTTTTTTTTTTTTTTTCCAAGAGAACACAAAATTACTTGGGTAGAGAATATATCACTGAAACATATTCTGTGAAAAAATATTTCTTTAAATCTTTCAGTTTTTAAAAATTCAGTGTTCAGGGGTTGAAGGGAGGCTGTTCAGTGGTAGAACATTTGCTTAGCATTGGTGGGGCACTGGGTTCCATCCCCAGCACCATACAAAGTAATTAATAAACAAATGCAGTTCAGTGTACATTGTGTATGTAACAATATGTTGGCACTCTTATCACCTATGTCTAGCAATTCTAATGGCTTTCATTTCTGTTGTTGGCTTTTAGCTTTTTGAGGCAGGACCTTTCCATGTAGCTCAGGCTGACCTGGAACGTGTTACGTAGCTCAAGCTAGTTTCAAACTCACAGCAATTCTGTCCTTACCTCTGAAGTCGCAGACATGCACCGCCCGCTAGGTCCAGTAGCTTTAATGCTTCCCAATCTAAATACAGCATTTGTATTTTTCATGGTTTGTTTTCTTTGGGGGTGTGTGTCTGCCGTGTATGCATGTGTGTGCGCTGGTTTTAAAACGTTTTGAAACACATCAGGTGGGGTGCACTGAAGCACACGTCAGGATGTGGGCGCTAGGGTGTGTGCATCGGTTAGGGCTTTGCTGTGTTGGTTGTCTGCTTCCACATTTATGTGCTTCCCAGAGGGTGAGCCCTAATCACTAAATTTGCTTGGCAAGTGTCTTTACCTGCTGAGCCATCTTGATGGTCCTGTTGTTTTGTCTTTCTTGTGGTCGGGGGGTGGGGGACACACACAAGCATGCCCGCATGCATGCACATGTACACACACCACATGTGTGGGGGTGCTCTCAGGGACCAGAGGAGGAGTTACATGACTGTGAGCTTCTTGATGTGAGTGCTGGGGATGGAACTTGGGTCCTGTGCAAGAGCAGAAGACACTCTTACTGGCTAAGCCATGATCTTCCCAGCCCTATCATTTTTGTTTCTGTCCCAAGTCCTGTTTGGCTTACTGTGTTACTCCGAGGGCTCTGCCGGGATGTTCCTTTGCAGCTCGAAGCTTCGTTCCTTTGCAGCTCGAAGCTTCCTTTCTCCTTTTCTGAGCCTGGGGCTTCTGACAAGCTGGCACGACTCCATCCCCACGTGAGGCAACTGTCTCTGCTCAGCTCTTATGCTTTCTAGAGATTTCTGTAATTAGTCTCCTGTCCCCACATTGGGTTTCAACAGTACTCTCAGGGGAAGCTACTGGGTTCCTATTCTCACTACCCACTGATTTCGGCTTCTTAATATGTTCTTCCCCTTTTGGCTTAGTGAGTCTTCTGGCCCTTAGAGAGCTGACTGGTTTCTTGGGAATCTAGCTTTGCATTAAAATGCTCAGAGTGTTAACTAATTCGTTTTGCAGGGATTTGGG